GTGGTCTAAATTCTATGAAATTTATTTTATCTTACTAAAAATACCACCGGTCATTATCTTATCTGATAGGAAAAAAATGCTGAGAGTTTGGAGGGAATCGGCCTACCTTGATCTGTGGACCCTGCCTGGTCCCTAGTGACAATGACACTTAAATTTTGTCCAGTTCGCAACACAGTTTAACGTTGTAAACAAAAAGGTTACCAAGCTCCCAGATAATGTGGTTCCAAGAAGTTTCCCAACATATTCTCTAAATCCAAAAGGGGCAAACTTTGAAGTTCGACAGAATATACAAATGCATTGAAGCAATCGCACTGGAGATAACAGTCGGTAGAAAGGAGATGATTATGATTGGAATGTACTGACCACTGAGAGCGCTAAATGGATACTACCAGCTTGCACTCGAAGATGAATTAAGCCATATTTGCAATTGGGCTTCTCTCCAGAAAGGTACTGTTGCTGTCATCGGTGACCTAAATCTTGATAGGCATGACCTAATAGGAATGAAAGAAAACTGCTTATTGAATTGGAACAGGAGTTTGAATGCTTAATAAAGGAACCTACTCAAATTGAAAGGAAAGGTGCGACAACCACCAGCACTTTAACTTATGTTCTGCTTAGTAACAGACCTGAGATGTTCAAGCAATGTGGTACCTACAATACAGCTTTGAGTGATCACCTGTTAATATATGGTTTGATGAAGGAGACGGTTAAGCGTTATCAGAATAAAATTATCACTTTCAGGAACTATAAGAATTGTGACATGAAAGTGTATGTAAATAAGCTAGCTGCAGCTTCATGGCACTTAGGAGATCTGTTTGATGACGTAGACGACCAGGAATATTACTGGAAAACACTAATGAAGGATATAGTGGATGAATGCTTTCTCTTGATAAAGATGCAAGTGAGATCTGAGGATGTCCCTTACATGACAACATCATGGAAAAATGTTATAAGGCCAAAAAGAAGAGCCACTTCAAAGTATTACAAAGATAAATCTGCACACAACTAGGAGGTTAAACAAAGGTGCTGCAATAAAGCCAACGTAGGATTGCAATTAAACAATATTGGAAAAAGAAAGCGAATGAACTAACGACAAATTCAAAAGAATTTTTGAAAACCTTGAAACCGTTTTTGGGATCAAAGACTTGTACTAACAAACAAGCAGAAATTAACCTCAAAGTTAACGGCACTGTAGTTAGTGATCAAACAATCATTGCCGAGACTCTAGCATGTCATTTTACCACCCTCACCAACAGTGTTGGCGGAGACAGGGCTCAGCAATCAGAGAAACAACTATGCAACCACCCAAGACTAGCTCAGATTAGATCTCATTTTCAAACTAAACAAGCCATTCAATTCTTATCATAATAATTATCATAATAATTATCATAATAATGGTCTTTATTATCATAATAATTATCATAATAGTAGTCTAATTATTATTGAGCCTACCAAAACAACACAAGTAGTGTGTGCACTTGAATTGCTTAAAACAAATAAGGCAACAGGTAATGATACTATCCCGGCAAAAGTACTGAAACTGGGAGCAAAGGAACTAACCACACCCCCTACTAAGTTATATAACTCCTGCATCTCCAGTGGAAAGTGGCCAAGTGAATGGAAAAGGGGAGAGTGGATACCCGTCTTCAAGAAAGACGATCCACTCCACAAAGAGAACTACAGACCGGTCACCATCCTTTCTGCCGTGGACAAAGTCTTTGAGCAGCTGATTAGCAAACAAATCACTTCTCAATTTGAAAGTCGCCTATCAGATTGCATTACCACCTACAAAAAATCCCATAGCTGCGAGACAACCCTTGTCTCACTGGTGGAGCAATGGAAAATTGCGAGGGACAGGCACCAGTGTGTAGCTATATTATCTATGGATATTCAAAAGCATTTGATTCACTTCACCCATGACTTGTGCTTAACAAGTTAAGAGCCTACGGTTTTGAGGAAAACACAGGCAATCTTCTACGCTCGTATCTCTCCAACTGACATAATAGCATTAGAATGGGATCACAAACAAGTTCTTGGCAAGTGGTACACAGAGGATGCCCACAAGGATCTGCCTTAGGACCACTTCTTACGAACATCTTGCAGAACAACCTGGCCTACGAAATTATTATGAACCTTTCTATGTACGCAGATGACCATCAGATTTACGAAGCAGGAAAGGATCTTGCAAACGTAAAGTCATCACTTACCAGGAATGCAAAAAAAGCATCTAAATGGTATGAAGACAACATGCTCAAGGATAACTATAGTAAATACAAAACCATGGCAATGCAGAACAAAAGAGGGATGACAAATCCGACCATGAGTATTCAAGGCAACATAATTGAGTTGACAGAGAAGCTAAACCTTTTAGGCGTGACGATAGATAGTAAGCTGAACTTTAGCCATCATATCAACAATGAGTGTAAAAAAGCAAGCCCACGATGACCTGCAAGCCTTGGAAACGTACACGACGGTCATCTGAATTGACCGCTTGCGCAATGTAAAACAAAGGAAGTGTTGACAACACAGTGCAGGACCATCCATAGGAAACCAAGGGAAATACCTGGAAAGTATTACTCACACGTCATCGCATGTTTGTCTCCCTGATTCATATGACATTTCATTCCAAAAGCAGCAATTAACACTCAAAATATGCTTTTCTATTTATATACCCGTCTTCCCACAAAGATAATCGAAACTTCCGACAACAGAACATCGATATCATTAAAAAGTTTCATGAGTCTTCTCAAACAGAGCAACTTCAGAATACCCGGCTAGTTCATTTACATTCTTGTGTGAGAACTCTTCTAAGAACCTGATATTTTGAAGTTTAACCAAGCACAGGCCTTGCTCCTGAAATAGTCTGCGAACAGGATCCTGGTGAGCCCAAACCACCCGATCGCTTTGCTCATTCTTGTTTTGCGCTCGCTGAATTTTTTTTCCGTCCTCGCCGGGAACCTGTTTGCAGGCTATTCTGAAATATCTGAGCACAGGCTCGAGCGGGGAATGTTATACAACTGTATACGTCAGTGGGGATAGCAAGAGTAGTTTTGGCTCCTGCCTGGAATAAATACCCAAACTTTGGAAGCAAGAAAAATTTTAGAAGACTACAAACTCCTGTTGTTAGTGGTTAGAGCTTATTTTTGCCACCATTGGAACTGTTTGCACTTCCGTTTAGTATCAACGTGGCCCGGCATCAGAACATGTGTGCTTCGACAAGTAATTTCAAAATGTTGACCATGCTTACGGATTGTCTGTTGTGCAAGAAAGCTTTTAAATCTCTTTATTCGCTTAAGAAACATCGACGGGATAGACACGACGATGATTCTCCCGTAATTCCGCTGTTTAAAGGCGCTTCTGGGAACATTGTCTCAGTTCCACAGCCGAGGAAANGACATTACCTAAAGTTAGATAGGTAAGCAAGAAAGCAAGTAAGCAGGAAGAAACGAATGAAGGAATGAAGGAAAAAACAGTTTGAGAGCTCATTTAAGCTTCTAGATTCGGGATTAACTCCGTTTTTTGATTCGGCAAATATTTTGCGGTTTCCTGGTCGAGACAATTTCCTAAACAAAACTGTCCTGTGGGATTTTACGTCTGAAATTAAATGCATTTGCAAGTAACATTGCGTGTCAACATTCGCTAGAAATCTGCTCAACAAAGGGAAGCATAGGAGTGAAAATGAAAGGCGGTTTGCCTATTCCACAGATATGTCTCATCAGTGTTTTTTTTCTTTCAGTTTCTGACATCCGTGATAAGACAGGAAACGTGCCTAAGGTTGTTGACGTCATCGCAGGAAAGGATGTTCGACTTACTTGCCAGGTTAAAAAAAATGGTGTAGTCACTACCTGGCTTAAGAATAACAAGACAATTAGTCCATCGGACCATCCGAGGATGAGACTCAAATTGAACAAATTCTTAAAGATAAAGAGAGTTCAAAAAGACGACGCTGGATTCTACACGTGTGTAGCTGAGAATGACTGCGGAAGAAATACGTATACTTTGCAGCTTTTTGTTGGAATTAAGTTAACATTATAATATTAGAGTAGGCCTGGGCCTTACTACACCAGTTTTGGTCTGAACTATAAGTTCAGCCGGGTTTTTTGTTAGGCAAGAGGTCATGCACTAACCGTTAAACATTCAAGCACAATGATCTGAACATTTTGATTTTCCACCGGCACGCTAGAGTGGTTGTACTACCAACCATCTCAGTGTAACAAATAGATTCCATGTTGCGGTGTGTCTGTTGTAAAATATATTTTCTTTTAACTGGCTGCCTGTCATTTTTAACTCTACGGTTATTTCGGGTAGCCTTCACGCATATCATTTTTGCTTTGGTGTGGCCTTGTAAATTCCTCTTCACTCTGGGATGTGATAAAGTTGTTGTTGTCTTCAGTGACAAATTTTTAATTCTGTATTCGACAGTTTCAATAATTCATAGTAGTAAGCTGTAGAACGCGCTTTCAGCTGACAACGTGCGGTGATGACAAGTTTTGACTTCACCAGTATTTGGGATTAACGCCTGCTCTATAGCCACTGCCTATAGCTTGTTGTGTTTGCCCGCAGACAACAAATAGAAAAATTCCCTGCCTTGCAGGGAGCATTAACATACCACATTTCTTTTAATTAATTTTAATTTCGTATAAGTTGAAACAAAATGAACAAACAACGTATAACATTACCCCGGGAGAACTGGGTGTCATGGCTAAAAATAACTCGAAAGGGATTATCTTGCTAATGAGGCTAACTGGCTCTCTTAGCCTTCATCCCCTCTTGTTATAACTACTTTACTAGTCAATTTATTGCATTAGTCACGACCACTTCTTTGTTTCTAGTATTACAAGAGTTATATTTATTGCTTTTGCCGCTTTCAAGGGTATCACACGATCTATTACTAACGGTGATCACCAATTCATTTTACAAGTTCAAGGCTATGTGATAGTAAAGTTAGCCTCTTTAACTCTCTTAGAACGAGTTCGTCGTGAGCCAGTGGTTCTGCCGATGGATAACGTGACGGTTTTTGAGGGCGAAAACGCCATTCCATATCTGCATGTGTTATTTTGTACATTTAATAGCGGAGCCCCATACCTTAGAAAATTTGGTAACCCATCGATCTAAAAAAGTGTTGGTTCTTACGTGACTGTCCGTACGCCAAGCCCAATACTGTAAAAAAAATAGGAGAGTAGCACTTTTACCATAGGTACATCTTTGGTACTGGGCATCCATGTTAACAGACAGCTGTCAAAACAAGGTATCCGCTGACAAGTATCACGTAACCATATAGCGGGCCCGGCAGAGCTCATGAAGATCGCGTGTTTTAAGTACTGGTTTTCGATTGAATCGCAGGCTCAAGTCAGGTTATTACTCTTGAGGAGAACGAGGGAGTACGTGCAAAGGCAAAATTTCAGCGCAAATTAACCCCTGGCGCGTTGTTTACTTTTCTTCCCACATGTTCATCGCACAATCATCGCTTGGAAAGTCCCTGATATGTTGCGTTTGTAATATATCAATCTTGGTTACGCTTATTGGGTATTGGTTGTTCAGTTTTAGCTGGAAAAAATAGCTAAACCACACGCCGAACAATTACATGCTCATTATTGATAACTTTAGAGTTTCTGATCCAAGAAAAACAAATCCTCGTTTTACTTTTGGTTATTATTGCAATAAGGAGCTCCGCGTTTAGGCTAAGCTGAATCTATATATTAAACGTACTAATAACGCCGTTTTCGAAAATTTACCGAAGATTTCCGACTACTTTCCGAAGTGGTCGGATAACTGTAAGATCAGTGCAGTGGTGGATCCAGACTGGCATATGAGATTGATGACGCAAGAGTACCGGTCTGAAAATTCTTCGTCTCTCCGTTTTTCTTCAAATTATAGGATGTGGACCTAGGCCACTCGACCTCTCTCTGGGATCCGCCACCCTATTTTTCAATCCAAGCAAATTATTGACGGATCAAACCTTGCCAAGATATTTCTTTAACGGGACCACCTAACGGATAGCAAATGTCGCAGAAATAGTCAACCTCCTTGGGAGAACTGCTTGAAATCCGTCTCCAATCTTCAACATCTGCGTTTCTTTTTTGGTTTGTTTCCTTTCTTATACTTGAACACGTGACTTTAGATTAAAGCAAATAAGTTGAATTCGAGAGAAATTTCGTTAAGTTAAGAAGAAAATGTGGAAAAAAATTCCAGAAATATCGATACGTTGGGGGGACAAGAAGATGCGAACAGGGTTTTTGTTTTAAAGGCATCGCACAGTGATAATTTAAAGTTAAATCCTTTATCCATGCTTCACTTAAGCCCTTCGGCTTTATAATAAGCAGCGCGGGTGTACGGCAAAAATATAGAAAATCGTGACAAATACTTTTTGATCAAATCTAAACAAATATTCCCTAGGAATTGTTTGGGTGGTGTGTAGATTTAGGCTAGAAACTAAAAGTAGTTAGTTTAAAGGCAAATCAGTTATACAGGAATTCGGAATAGACCACTCACACGAATTGCTTATAGTGTATGATAACGAAGCCAATCAGATTTCACCATTTGATAAGATAAGATAAAAACTTTATTAATGTGTCGAAGTCAGTAGCATACAATGTACACTAATTGGGGACACCTAACTACAAATACTTATCTAATAGTTAATAATTAGTATACTAGTAGGATTTTGCTAATCGTGGTTATTCACTGCTTGTCAGCTGCTCCGAAATTCACAGTACCACCGGATGAGCTATCGCGCAGCCTACTCGTATTACCAACCGGCAACTCAGTGAGGCTGGACTGTTCTGCCGAAGGGCATCCTCGTCCTACCGTGACATGGTATAAAGACGGGACGCGGTTTCTGAAGAGAAAAGGTGGAAGCAGAATCTACTTGGGTCGATGGACACTCTTGCTAACCATGAAGGACTTAGTACCGACTGACACTGGGAAGTATACCTGTAATGTGAGCAACGCGTATGGATGGATCAACCATACTTATTATGTGGATGTTCACGGTAAGATTTACGTTCTGGATAGACTATAAGTGGTCTGTCATTTCCCTTAGCTCTCTTTCCCGTGTGTCTTTGAGCTACTATTTCTTACCAAATTTCGTGGAGGTTGAAAAAATGAAAAAACAACGTCCAGTGTATAACATTACCCCGGGAAAACTGGGTATCATGGCTAAAAATTACTCGAAATGGATTCTCTTGGGAATGAGGCTAACTGGCTCTCTTAGCTTTCATCCTCTCCTGTTATGAATACTTTGCTAGTCAGTTTATTACATTACTCATGGCCACTTTTTTGTTTCTAGTTTTACAAGCGTTATAGCTATTGCTTTTGCCGCTTTTAAGGGTGGTGCCCGCTATATTACTGATAGTGAT